CTTCAACCCGCGCCGTTTCTCGCACCGCTGCTGCTCGTGATTCGCTGCGCCGGTGGGTGCCTCGCCGCCGCTCCCGCCCAGAGGCACCGCTGCGTGCCAGGGGAGACGGCGTTGGGGGTCGCGCCGGCGGCTGCGGTGGTGCGAGAGGTGCCGCGGAAGGGCCAGGGCGCGGCGCAGGCGTACACCGTCGCAGCGGCAGCGGCGAGAGGAGGAAGGAGCAGCGAGGGTTGGGCGCCCATCCGCATCGAGGTGTCCACGGAGGATTTGAACGACGAGACAAAGTACTGCACGGCGCAGGATGAGAGCAAGCCGAACTTTAAGGGCGGGACTGAGGATTGTCAAGACAAATACGTTCTGGACGCGGCAAGGAAGAGCACCCTGGTGAACGAGGTCATCCCTGTGGCTGTCCAGCTGCACGCGGAGCGCCTGCTCGTTCAGCGCGCGCAGGGTTTGTTGAAGGTGCCCCAGTTCACTGACACGCAGGGGCGGTGCCAGCACTTCAAACTCCCCAGTGAGCAACAAGCAACGGGGGTCGCCAATGCGGACATGGTGCTCTACGTGGCTGCCGGGGCGAGTGCCGAGACGTGGGCGGTCCCGTGTGCCGTTGGGTCAAACGGTCGTCCAGTTGCCGGTGCCCTGCATGTCTCGCCTTTTCAACGGTTGTCTGTCATGCACTCTGCCCGCGTCGCTGCGCAGGCCATCGGTCATGCGCTTGGCTTCGGCGTGCAGCAGATGAAGGCGCGGGGCACGTTGGAGGAAGACGTCACTAATGTGCGCGGCAACCCCAACCCTGTGACGGTGGTGAAGTCGCCTGTTACGCTGAAAAAAGCGAAGGCGCACTACGGCTGCACTGACCTCAAGGGCATGGAGTTGCTCAAGATAAACGGTGGCGTTGGTGCGGTGGAGCGAGTCTACTGATCGGTGCGCAACGCGAAGGACGAGCTGATGAGCGGTCTTGGCGTGTACACCGCCGGCTACTGCACCGCGCTGACGATGGCAATGTTTGAGGACCTCGGCTACTACAAGGCCGTGTGGAGGATGGAGAAGCCGATGGCGTGGGGCAGAGGCGCGGGCTGTGACTTCCTCGAGAAGCCGTGCTCGGACAAAAGCCCCGGCGAGCACCCCGGAATCTTCTGCGATAACAAGACCGACGGCGAAACACTTCGCTGCACGTCCAACCGCCAGGCCATCGGGCAATGTGAGTTCAATGCCGCTGAAGGCGACGCCAACGAAACGTGCCCAGTGTTTTGGGCGGATTCGAGTCGTTCAGCGGCTTTTGTTTAGCAGCGCGAAGTGAAGGGACAACCCCCACCCAGCTTGCTCCACGGGAGTGGTTCGTGGTGCCTCGGTGCTGAAGCACTGAAGTTGAAGGGTTCTGCTGGGAAGGCCGAGTTGGGCCCCATCGACCTCCACGCGGTGTGTGCGGAGATGCAGTGCGGGGAGGGCGGCACGGTGAAGGTGAAGTACCTCGGCGCCGCTGAGTATGTGCCGTGCCCCGAGGGAAGTGTAATCGAAGTGACGGCGTCGGCGCACTTCGAGGACGGCGCGAAGATTAAGTGCCCCAAGTACGAGGAGGTGTGCGCCATCGCCGCCAACGGCAGCAGCCTCGTTGTTCCGCGCGTGTTGAGTGGAGCCGAGCAGGCGACAGGTGCAGCAGTTGAGCCGCCCGGTGCAGAGGCCTCTTCTGCAGCTGAGGGTGGAGATGCTTCCGGTGCGGAGGCAGCGGCGGGAGCAGCTGCTGCGGCCCCCGATGTGCCTGCGCCGCCCACCCCGACACCGGCGGCATCCGTCAACGGCAGCGACGTGCAGAAGAAACTTGAAGTGGCGGCGCAGGCAAGTCGGAAGCGACGCCGGTGCGGCTGCTGCGGCTGTTGGCTGCAGTCACTTTGTGCTGCTCGCCGTGGCCGCCGCGGCTGCAGTGGCGATGCTGCCGCCTTGAGCCGCAGCAGGAACTGCGGCTGGGCGCCAACAAATTGCGGCGGGGGAATAATGAATATATACACATGCACCTATGTGCCCCCCCGTGGAGTCCCGCACTCAGGCCGCAATGAGGCAGCAGTGTAATA